CTCCCTACCTACCTCCCTACCTACCTACCTACCTACCTACCTACCTACGTACGTACATGCTTTAGTAATTAAGTATGTTGATATGTGTAAACAGGTAGAAAAAAGAAAAGCTACATAAACGTGCAGCCGAAGGAGTTCCTCTGCCTGAGCCCCTTGGTCTGCCGAGGCTCGCGACGAGCTCTCCGCACCCAAGCCGCCTCAAAAACGGCGCCGGCGACACCCATGAAACGGGGTAGCGCTCGACGGTGCATCAAACAATCCCCGACGTTTCAGTGATCTTCAAGCAGAGAGGAAAAGGAGGAGCAGGAGGGTGTTTTCAATTCCCCGAAGCCCTAAACCTTAACCCTAACCTTTAAGCGCAGGAGAGTGGATGCAGAGTTTACTTATTTATACATATACATATCCATACATACTCTCTTAGCTTCCCAACTTCCAAGTCTTGCTTTAAGGTTTACTTCCTACTTCTTGCTCATGGAGTTTGCCATCGACACTATTTTGGACATATTCTGTCACAGTTCTATCAGCCTGAGGTGCTACAGGGTTGGTTATAGAGCACCCTGCCACAACTTGAATGATGTACTATATGACCTGCGGACGACGCAGGAGTGGGAGTATCTTCCTTTCAATCTTGCAGGCGTGGGTTAAACACCGTCCAAACTCTTGAAGGACCAAAAAACCTCAAGCCCTGAACCCTTTACAATATCTAAGTGTAAGGCCCGAAGGCCCAAACCCTAAACCTCAAAGCCTACCACCCCCTATAAACTCGAAGCCGTGACCCTAACCTCTAGATTGTTCTGTTTGAGTCTGGAGGCGGTAAACTTGAACCTCAAACATACCACGACCCCACAAGGGCGCTTTAAGAGAGCCCTTATGGTCCTTAGCCAGTGGGTATTCAGGGTATATTAGGGGGTAGCTGGGGGGTCTAGGTAATGTAGGGGGCCTTAATAATCAGAAGAGTGTTCTACTTTGATTATAAGAAGGAACCCCCAAGACCCTCTTCTGAGTATACACGGCCCCTAGACTAGTCTTGAAACTGGCTGAGAGGTTGCGGGTGGGTTGTTTAGATTGGTTCATTCCCGGATTCAAGGTTTGAGAATCTACCGGGACTCTCCTTGTACCCTCACATAGCAGTTATATGGTCTCTAATAGTAGGTAACCAGGTGTTTAGGGTCTAATAGGAGGTAGAAGGAGGGTCGAGCAGGTAGGTGCAGGTTTCAATAAGTTAGGAGGGGTACGTGTTAGGCGAACATAAGTTTGAGAATCTGGGGGCAGGGTTCATCAAGAGGGGTTGGGGTTTAGGGTTTAGGGGAGAGTTTAGTCTGGCTTAGGGTGAAAGTGGACGTGCTCCACCTGCCAAAGCTGCGGGAAGTCTCGCGTGTGTGGAAATTCAGTTTTGGGCTCAAGTCCCGAAAAAAGCCCTAAGGGTTTAGGGTTTCAGGGTGTAGGGTTTAGGGTTTAGGGTCCATGAACCCAAATAGTATATACTTTGCCCCCACAGTACATAAATAGGGAGTACTTTGAGGCCGAAGTATCTACTAGTTGAGCCCCTCAGTTCTCAATGCGGTACCCTTGGAGTTCACCCTTCGGGTTTTGGGGTTAGATTACGGGATAGCCGGAAGAATCCTAAGGGCCAGAAATGCCTGAGTTTTTTGGTATCGAAGTGTAGGATAGCAGTGCCGTGGGTCAGTATTTGGTGGGCATGTGATGGTATGTTTTGCCCTGAGAATGCTTTTGAAGCGAATTAGATACAGAGACTACTACCCTTACGTCTCAGAGGACTCAAATTTCAAGGCTGTTAACCCCAAAGACCCTATTGTATAAGGCATTTGGTCTATTTTGATGCTAAGGGTATGTAAGACCCTACGAAAGCTAAAGAGCCCTTTACCTAGAAGACTTTGAACAACCCCTAGGAAACTCATATAGGCAGTGGCATGGGTTTAGGGTTCTTGGGGTTTACAGGGTTTAGGGTTTATAGCCTATGAACCCTAAACCCTAAAAGCCCTAAAAGCCCTAAAAGCCCTAAGAACCCTAAACCTTAAACCCTGTAAACCCCTATAAATTATAGGGTTTAGGGCTTAGGCTTTACATTGCCATGGCGCAGCGAGAAGAGCTCGCTCTGGCCCGGATCATCAGGGAGCGAGGGAAGACGAGAGATTGGCAGGCAGTGCCTTCATGAAAGGGTCGACTAGCCCTGCGGGCTTAAGGGTTTGCCTAGACCCAAATATATATATATATATATGCAGAATAAAAGTCTCTTTTTTCTGGGTGTTGGGACATTTTGCGATTTACTTGTTTTTTGTTTTTTTTGGTTAGGGTGTTTAGGGTTTAGAGAAGTATTCTTAATATTGATCTGCAATTTCTGAAACCCTACATTCTAACATACGGGGTAGTTCTTTGAATTAGGGTCCCTTTTAAGGTCCTTGTTATAAGGGTGCCGTACTATATTGGGGACCCAAAAACCGACCCTCATTTAGAGAACTACTCATATAGGTGCTTTGGACCCTTTGGGAGAAGTTCAGGCCTTTGGGGCTGATAGGGCCGTAGGACTGGAAGACAGCCACTGCGGATCAGCCGGGCGAGATATAGGCAAGGGCTTAGGAGCTCTTGGAGTGTAGGGTTTAGGGGCTTTAGGGTTTAGTATTTAGGCAGTGTAGGGGCTTAAATGTATACGGTTTTAGGTGGCTAAGGGTTTCACAACCTCATGTAGTACTAGCTGATGACCAGCACATCTTACTTTGTGGCCGAGCTTTGCCGGGGTGCACTGCGGGAAATTAGCTAGCCAGGAAACCAGAACTCGAGACAACCAGCCGTCGGCCACCCGTCCCCAAAGGGCCCTAAATACCTAAAGGGGGCTACTTGCCCAAACATTACTAGTAATTCCTATTATAGAAACTCTACATCCTACCATATAGGTGCATAGGACCCTTTGGTTTCTTGGCAGGCATGTGTGGAAGCTTTGGCCGCGATGCTGGTGATGCGGTGTGTACCCAGCGTCTACAGCTTCACCGCAGCTATCACAGCAAGTCTTGGTGCATGGATGGTGGCAGCCCAGATCTTTTCCGAGATGTTGTCACACGACATCTTCCCTGATACTGTCAGCTGCAATGCACTCATGAATGTAGCTGAAAGAAGCAGGCAGTGGCACATTGTGCTGCAGCTGCTGGCCTACATGGCGGCCGAAGCAGCCAAACCTAATGAGATCAGTTTCACTTCCGCCATCAGTGCAAGCGACAGAAGTGGTCATTGGCAGTTAGCGATGAGGCTCCTTTCTCACATGCCTCGACATCGAGTGTCCCTCAGTGAGATGAGTGGCACTGCAGCCATGAGCGCTTGTGAACGGGTTCAGCGGTGGGAAGCAGTGATTCAGTTGCTGTCTACCATTCCCAGAGCTGACGAGATCAGTTTCTGGGCCTCCCGAATAGTTCTTTCGCTATTCCAACCGTGCTTTGCAAAGGGTTTAGGGTTTAGGGTTTAGGCACAACAGTAGTTAGTTTAGCCGTGTTGTGTTTGAGAACAAACCTCCTCAAGCGTGTCCCATGTTGAGGCTTCAACATTGGCATTGCTGGCTGCCGAGAAAGCTTGCAATGGGCTGCAGCACTTCAGCTACTCGCCGCCATGCCCAGGGCAGATGCCCCCGCGGATCTAGTGACGTTCAACGCCCTTGTGAACCAGTGTGGCGAAGGCGCTTCGTGGGAGCTACCATGTAACCCCAGGGGTTTGCGTAAAGATGACAAAGCTGTACCTGTATTTGTGCATGTCGCTGTCATGGACGTCTGAAGCAGCAGTAGGGTATCTGACTGATCTCTCGAGGCATCCTTAGGGTGTCCTACTTTCATGTGGTACACACACACACACACACACAACAGGCGCGTGTACACATCGCTGTGTGATTGCATGCATGGAAAGGTTAGCAGAATCTAGAATTACTTGCTTGCTTACAGGTGCCTCCCCAACACTAAAGTCCCACAATCCATGCGACGCATACAAGGGTTCATCTGTCTAAATATGTAGATATGCGATTACTCACATGCATACACATATCTGTAATCATGTACATCTATCTATCTATCGATCTATCGATCGATCTATCTATCGATCTATCTACCGATCTGTCTATCTATCCATCTGTCCATCTATACATATATATATATATATACACATAAGTATATACGACACACACACAGAGATTGACCCTATCGTCCCGAAAATAGGAGTGCCTAGTTTTAAGCTAGACGCTTCGCGTGGAAGCGTGGAAAATGGTCGGATACCTGCCTAAACCCTAAGCCCTAAACCCAAAGCCCTAAGCCCTAAGCCCTAAACCCTCCGTCTCTGAAAGGCCTGCAATGGCAACGGTCACTTCGACTCGTTTCCCAGATCCCCGAGGCCGCTGGGGCTGCGTGAGTATGATTTTCGGGTTTGGTGCTGGGGGGCTTCGGGCTCTTAGGGCTTAGGGTTTGGTAGGGTTTAAGGCATTGGGGTTGGGAGTTTAGAGTTTAGGGTCCACTTAGGGTTTGGTATGGTTTGGGGCATTAGGGTTGGGGGTTTAGAGTTTAGGGTCCGGAAATTTACGGTTTCGGGCTGGGGTTTAGGGTGATTCGGGCTTAGGGTTGGGTTTGTTTTAAGGTGTAAAGGTTCAGGGTTCGGGGTTTCGGGTTGGGAGCGTTAGGGTTTCACATGGATGCACCACTGTTACCCTGAGGCTCAATGTAGCCCCAAAAAAGCCTTAGATAGTATGGTCTTTGGGCCGAAAAGCCTTTATAGATGAGCCTCAGGGTTACTGTATCAGCATTAGTGGTAGCAAAGCAACAGCAGCAGCAGCGGCGGCAGACGTAGTTTCAGTGCAACTAATTGATGGACGTCGTCGACGTCGTCGTCGCCAAACGCCCGAAAAGCCTACGACCTAAGCAAGAACCAAACCGTACGTTCTGAACCCCTAAACCCTAAACCCTGTAAATCCTGAACGCCTAAGCCCTCGAACCTATCTCTGAGATCTTCGAGACACAGCTGGAGAGGGGCACCAACCCCCTAAACCCTAAACCCCTTAGTAGCAACCCTCTATTGATGCCGTCTTCAGGGGTCTTTAAACCCTCTGAAGGCAGGGCCCTAAACCCTAAACCCCTATACACCTTAAGCCCAAAACCCTAAAACCCTAGACCCCTAAACCCTAAAACCCTAAAGAGGCAGGGCTGGAGAGGGATATCATCGGCTGCAACGCCGCCATCGCCTGCTGTGGGCTGGTGAGCCAGTGGGCCAGGGCCTTGGAGCTTCTTGGAGGCAGCGTGAGCTCCTTTTGGTTTAGGGCTTTGGGTTGAGGGTTTTGGGTTGAGGGTTTTGGGTTGAGGATTTATAGGGCTTTGGATTGAGGGTTTTGGGTTTTGGGTTTTGGGTTGAGGATTTAGGGCTTTGGATTGAGGGTTTAGGGCTTTGGGTTGAGGGTTTAGGGCTTTGGGTTTTGGGTTGAGGATTTATAGGGCTTTGGATTGAGGGTTTAGGGTTTTGGGTTGAGGGTTTAGGGCTTGGATTGAGGCTTTAGGGTTTACGGTTTAGGGCTTTGGATTGAGGGTTTAGGGTTTGCGGATCGGGCTTTGGGTTCAGGGTTTGGGTTTAGGGCTCAGAACCCTAAACGTTTATCTCTGCAAGCGCGGCCCGAACCCTAAGCCCTCATGGCAAGGCCTAAACTCTAAACCCTAACGCCCTCAAGATCTAAACACTAAACGCCTAAAGCCCTCAAGACCTAAACTCTAAACGCCTAAAGCCCTCAAGACCTAAACTCTAAGCCCTAAAGCCCTCAAGGTCACCTAAACACTAAATCCTAAAGCCCTCAAGACCTAAACTCTAAACCCCTATTGCCCTCTAGACCTAAACTCTAAACCCCTAAAGCCCTCAAGCCCTAAAAGCCCAAAGGCCCTAAAGCCCTCAAGACCTAAAAGCCCAAATGACGGTGATCCGAGGTTTCTTCTGCAGATTGCGTCTGCGAGGTTGGAGCCGGATCAGGTCAGCGGCAGCTCTGTCATCACTGCATGTGGCATGGCCTGTGCGGGTTAGTAACGTATTTTGGGTATCCAACCCTAAACCCTAAACCCTACTGCCTGTGCGTAGAAGGGTTTGTTGCGAATCGGTTTAGAGTTTAGGGTTGAGCTTCCGTGGCAGGGTGTAGTAACGTATGTTGGGTATCCTAAACCCTAAACCCTATACCCTAAACCCTAAACCTTGCTTTTTTACTTTGGATTATGTCCAACACCTTGCCGGACTGAAGGATCCTCAGGAATAGAGACCCTTCCCATGCTACGATTGATGATGGAAATCCTGCATTACCTTAAGGACCCTAATTTTATGGGATTTGTGGTATATTCCTTATTATGGGTAATGCAGGATTTATATCATCAACCGTATGTGTACCCATTGTGGTACTCGAATCTTAAACCCTTTTTTGGCTAGATTTCTTCCTCAAGCCCTCGAAATCAAACCTTGAGAACCCCCAAATAGAACCCTTATACAAAATATAGAATCCCTGAAGTAGGACCCTTACAAAGAATATTGAATCCCTTAAGTAGAGCCCTCATAGAAAAGTATCGAATCCCTTAAGGACTTCTTCTAGGCTCGATTTCGTTCCTAAGGAATTTTCGGCTAAACCCTAATACCCTAAAGCCCTAAACCCCTAAACCCACAGCCAAGGTGGGAAGGGCCTTCAATTGCAACAGGCGCTCCGCTGCCTTCTGGAAGCACCCGTGGATCCAATAACCCTGGGGTTTAGGGTTTAGGCTTTCAGGGTTTAGGCTTTAGGGTTTAGGGGCCGTAAAAAATCCAGATGGGTTTAGGGGCCTTAAAATATCCAGATGGGCGTCAAACCCCACTTTTTGGTAGGGTTTGGCTCTGAACTTATTGTTTGGTGGGTTTACGGCTGCAGGTCAACGTATCCCTGAACCCTGTAAGCCCTAAACCCTAGACATAGGCCCCTAAGTAGTTCCTTTTTTATGGTTTAAATGTAGAATCCTAAAAGGTAATCCCCAAACGGAACTACTTAGGGGCCTATGGGTAGCTCTAACTCAGAACCCAGGTAATGCCTGGCATCTCCTTGCGGCCGAATGCAGTGAGCTTCAATGCTGCCATCAGCGCTTGTGAGCCCTTAGGATACTGGGAACAGGCAGTTTATCTGCTGTTGCACCTCGGGGACTTAAAAGACCGTTTTTAGGACCGCTTTAGAGTTTTAGGGTTTAAAGTTATGAGTTAAGGGGCCCAATCCTTAAACTATGGACCTATTATGGTAAATGAACCTTAAAACCATTTCGGGTGCACTTCGTCCTTAAAGGCAGATGCCATGCGTACGGCGTTTACCCGACAGCATCGGCGCCAATGCTGCTATCAGTGCCTGTGCGACAGGCTACCAGTGGCAGCTCGCCCTAACCCCTAAACCCTAAAACCCTAAACCCTATAAGCCCCATGAGCCCCATAAGCCCTTTAAGCCCTAAAATCCCTAAACCCTGAGCCCGAGGCAGCTCGCACTTCAGCTATTTCTCTCGCTGCCTTCCAGGGATGTCGCTCCCGACTGTATCAGCTTCAATGCTGCAATCACTGCGTGCGAGAACCTTGGGGACCAAATGTAAGTAGGGGCCGTACTCCCTGCTACTATGCCCTAGGGTTTAGGACCAAATGAGCCTTAAAAGTAAGATCCCTATACCCCTATACTATGAGGAATCCCTATATCTACATCTAAATAAATAAAGAAATATATATATATATATCGGTATATGAGCCTCAAGCCCTTTTCGGACTCTTGTCGTCCTTAAGGAAGGTTGGCATGTGGCCTTCGGCTCTGTGGCTCCTCACTGTGATGCCGGAATCACGAGTCTTGGCATTCTTCTGGTTGGCTCTTGGGGCTTCTTGACTTTTTGGGTTCAGGCTTTAGGGTTTGGCTCTTGGGACTTTAACTTTTTTTTGGGTGTCTATATGAACTGTAATATGGTAGGCCAAGAGTTGAACTTCTTTGTTTTTTTTGGGGGGTCAGAAGTCAGCCAAGGAGTCATTCCGGATCAGATCAGCTACAGTTCCGTCATCAGTGCTCAAATTCCGCACTTAGGGAGTTGTGCGGCCTTTTTTGCCTTCGTTTGTTGGACGCACAGCTTGAAAGGCTTTCAGAAATCGTGGGACGACTGAGGTGCGTGCGAGAGGGGTCTTCAGTGGCAAGTGGGCCTCTGTCTCCTTTCCGGCATGGCTGTTGCGATGGTCTACCACAATGAGAGACTTGGCAAGCTAACCTTCACACCTTATTGCTGCATCAAAAAAACTGAAATGAAATGGCCCGATCTAGGCGTCTTGACAGACATCTCAAAATTATCGACTTGTCAGGTCAACAATAACATGCACCTAAGGATCACTTTAAATGCCATGATCAGCGCATTCGAGCAAGCTGGTCTATGGCAGAGGGCCTTCCACATGTTGCTCCGAGTTGAACGCCTGGCATTGACATCGACAAAGACGATACAGACAGCATCAGCAGGCACTTGAAGGCCCCTAAACCTCTAAAACCCTAAACCCTAAGCATGTTTTCTGCATCCAAGACCTAAACCGTTGAGCCCCTGAAAGAAGCCCCAAAGCCGGTATAATCCTTACTATGGGTAATGCAGGATTTATCTCATCAACCCTACCTCCGAAGCTCTGAGCCCCTAGAGGAGCCCTACCTCTGATCCTTTAAAGGAGCCCTTAAAAGCACTCGGGGATGAAGTCCTTGCTGGCCTTTTTGCGGCGCGAGGAGGCTGTCGCACTGCATTGTTTGGGGTTTGGGGTTTAGGGGTTGGGGCTTAGGGTTTAGGGCTTAGGGTTTTGGGGTTTAGGGCTTGGGATTTAGGGTTTAGGGCTTAGGGTTGGGGCTTAGGGTTTGTTGTTAAGGGTTTAGGGATTAGAAAGGATCCTAAGTACCTAGGAATAGTGATAGTTATTTTAATGCTGGTCATAGTAATGATACGGTTGATGATATAGATCCTGCATTGCCCATAATAAGGGATATACCATAATTCCCATAGTTTGGGGTCCTTAAGGTAATGCAGGTTTTATATCATCAACAATAGTATTCCCTGGACTGAAAGGGCAGGTTGGCCCAATGTTTCAGAAGTCTGGGACATTTTCAGGTGGGTGGCTACCGTTATAGGAGCCTTATAGAAGGTCTATATACCATGTAGAAGCCGTATAGAAGCCCTTTTTATCTTAAACTCACCCATCCTGGGAGCCTTCCCCAACCTAACCAACCTACCTTCTTAGGGTTCCTTAATATGATTTCCTCATGGAATTCCTTAAAAGGTACCTTCTCTAGGGTCCAGGTAAGCCCTAAGCCCTAAATCCCTCCGAAAGTGCAACCCCCAACAACGCTCTCCGCCAGGAGCTCGACATGTTCGCTTGCAAAGTCTGCTCGCCAAGACCGAGTGGCCTGTCGGCCATGCGGGCCACTCGGCCTTGCCGAGCAGCCTTTTTGGCAACTGCCCATGGCGAGCTCCTGACCTGGCAAAGCTCACGACCAGCTCGAAGACTCGCTGCGGAGCGATGTGACAGGGAGGCCAGAAAAGAGACAACATCGGAGAATTGTGTGGAACCCTACCACATCAGAGATAAGACCAGTGTTTTTGTTTGGTGTGATGAGCTTGAGGTCGTTAGTGCGTCTAAGGTCCCGAGACCCTGTGAACTAAACCCTACCCTAAACACCAAAGCTTTGCTTATTTCCAAAGGACACGGTGTCGGATAGTAGCTATGTTATGCAGGTTACCTTTTGGGAGAGTATATTGATTATTAGGTACTTGGAGCCTCAGGGTTTATGAGTCTGTACCAATTGAGACTTTGACCCTGAACCCCCAAAACCCTGAACCCCTAAACCCTATAATTAAACCCTGAACCCAAATCCCCTAAACCCTAAACTTGTTCCTTTCGGGGTCCTTCAGCCCGTTTCAGGAGTTCGAGCTTCCCTACATGGGTAGATCCCTAGATTAGGGTCCGTTTAGGTCCAACGAAAAAGTACGACACCCAAATGAAAAGGACTTTGAAAGGGACCCTAGTTTAGACAACTAGCCACAGGTTGCAGATAGCTTGATGGACAAAATACAGCGTTAAGTCGCTGCAAGCGTCTCTAAGCTATGAGAACTTTCCCTCATTATGGCTGTTGCAGGACCTCGTCCATCAGCAGTATGTTTGCGTGCCTCTTGTTCGCCCCTAAGCAGGTAGGTTTTTGGGTACAGCTCTTGCGTCACCAAGGCTGGTATTTACCTAATATGCCTGTGATCGGAAAAGTTCCAGCGTTGTTCTTGACATATCGTTTCGCCTTCAAACTCCTGCCGAGCTGCTCATCCGCCCCTTCAAACGGCTGATGGACCAAGTCGTTCATTGCCAGAAGAATCCTAAACCCTAAACCCCAAACCATTACCTGAAGTATTTTCAATCCAAGGGACTCTTGGCTACCATTGCCAACTTGCCAACGAATCCCTTGGTACTGGACCTTCCCTAGAGTATCCCTACCAAAAAGGACATGACCCCGAAAAACAGATACATTTCCCTTTACGAAGGACTCGGTTACCGTAGTGCTCGGTTCGTGGCGTGCAGACTGCTTGGCAGCCATGGCGCGGAGGGAGGATGAGGTAGCACTCGGGCGAGTCATCAGGACGTGCGGGAAAGTCAGAGAATGGCAGGCCGCAGCCGACATCGAATGTACCCAGAGAGCCTAATGCCGTTACCTCCTAGTTGGGGGAGATGCCTTAAGTCATAATATTACCGCGCCTACATTTTAAAGCATTTCCTAAACTAAGGAGTATCGGGCTTTCTGAGGTGGGGTGTGAGGGTTCCTGAAAGGTTGCTTCCTTCCGGGGTTCGGCTACAAGAGTGCAGGGGTTGATGTGGTTTTGTGCATGGTTTTCGGGTCAGGGGTTTGGTGTTGAAGAAGGTTTTAGAGGTAAAGGGCTTAGCTTAGAAGGTAAAAGTAAGGCCACTCTTTAGACGGTGATTCAATTCACTTGAACGTGTCGTGACCTGACGGCAGGCTTGTGTGGAAACTTTGGCCACGATGCTGATGCTGCGGCTCGTTCCGAGCATCTACAGCTTCGCAGCAGCTACTACAGCAAGTCTGGGTGCATGGATGGTGGCTGCCCAGATCGTTTCCGAGATGCTGTCACACGACATCCTACCTGATACTGTCAGCTGCAATGCCCTCATGAATGTAGCTGAAACAAGTCGGCAGTGGCAGGCAGTGCTGCAGCTGCTGGCCTACATGGCGATCGAGTGGGGGTCGTGGCGGCCAGCATGTTCTGCCTTACGGCTTTGCGGGATGCGCTGCCTGGTGCCATGCCACAGCCGCCCCCTTTCAGGAGATCGCATCGTGGAGAAGTTGAAAGCACAACAGCAGCAAGAACGTCATCAGGGCCTCGCTCCCAACACAACCAAGGGCCGCTCAGAGCATGCTACTGCACCGTTGGAGTGCCAACGTCACGAGCCGTTTCATCTTCCAGAGGACTTGCGCCACTGCCATAACCCTGATTACGGGGGCGAACGAGATCAGTTTCACTTTTTGTGTTGCAAGGCTTCCATGTTGGCATTGGCGCGTACCGAGACAGCCTGCAATGGACAGCAGCACTTCAGCTACTCCGCGGTATGCCGAAGACATACACTGCAGCGGATTTGGTGACGCTCAACACCCTTGTGAACCTGTGTGCTGAAGGCCTTCTGTCGACGAAACTTGATGCCTATATGCATCCCCTATATTCCATTACCCAATTCAAGGCTCTAAGTGCCAAAACCCTGAACCCTAGACCTCTGAACCCTGAGCCCTAAACCCTAAACCTTGTTTTGGGCTAGGGTACTCAGCGCCTAAACTACGGCTGCAAAGCCGAAGGCTTGCAGATTCTGGGACCTCAGGCTTGTTGGGCGGTGCTCCTCCGCATATTGAATAAGAATTGCAACACCAAGAGTAACAGTAGTACCAATACTAGTCTAGAAATAATGATAAAAAATGGTCATAGCGATCATAGTAACGATGCTATTCCCTGGAATGGAAGGGCTTGTTGGCCCAGCGTTTCAAGCTGAAAAGCCCGGAACGCCTCCTGAGCTTCCCCAGCCTCCGAAAGCGCATCCCCCAACAACGCGAGGGTTTAGGGGTTTCAGGGTTTTAGGGTTTATGGGGCTTTTAGGGTTTACGGCTTGGGGCGGCTATCTGCCAGGAGCTCGACATGTTCTCTTCGCTTGCAAAAGTCCCGGTGGATGCTGGGTGGCTGCTCGGCAAGGCCGAGTGGCCTGCCGGCCATGCGGGCCACTCGGCCTTGCCGAGCAGCCTTTTTGGCAACTGCCCATGGCGAGCTCCTGATCTGGCAAAGCTCGCGACCAGAAAGAAGACTCTCTGAGGAGCAATGCGACAGGGAGGCCAGAAAAGAGCCAACGTCGGAGAACCGTTTAGAACTCTACCGCATCAGAGATAAGTCCCAAGACCCTATCCTCGAAGCCTTACCCTAAACACCAAGAAGCCCTAAACCATTGCTTCTTTCCCGAAGGGTCCCAAGGACACGGTGTAGGAGACTAGCTATGTTATCTAGGTTGCTTGTCGGGAGAGTATATTGATTATTAGGTACTTGGACCCTCAGGGTTTATGAGTCTGTACCAATAGACCTTGACCCTAAACCCCTAAACCCGTGGCAGGCAGTGCTGCAGCTGCTGGCCTACATGGCGATCGAAGCCGCCAAACCAAACGAGATAAGTTGCTCTTTCTGTTATGAGGCTTCCATGTTGGCATTGCCTCCTACCGAGAAAGCCTGCGATGGACGTCAGCACTTCAGCTACTCCGCGGTATGCCGAAGACATACACTGCAGCGGATTTGGTGACGCTCAACACCCTTGTGAACCTGTGTGCTGAAGGCCCTCTGTCGACGAAAATTCATGCCTATATGCATCCCCATATTCCTTTGCCCCATTCAACGGTCTAAGTGCCAGAACCCTGAACCCTAAACGCCTAAAACCTAAGCCCTAAAGCCTAAACCTTGTTTGGGCTAGGGTACTCAGCGCCTAAACTACGGCTGCAAAGCCGAAGGCTTGCAGATTCTGGGACCTCAGGCTTGTTGGGCGGTGCTCCTCCGCATATTGGATAAGCAGTACAACATTAAGAGCAACAGTAATACCAATACTAGAAATCATGATAACAAAGATACTCGAAGACCAATACTATCGTAATAAGGATAAAAAAGATCATAAAGATCTTAGTGACGATACTATTCCCTGGAATGGAAGGGCTTGTTGGCCCAGCGTTTCAGACTGAAAAGCCCGGAAGGTCTCACAAGGCTAGGGCTTAGGGGCTCTAGGGTTTTAGGGTTTTAGGGTTTATGGGGCTTTTAGGGTTTACGGCTTGGGGCGGCTATCTGCCAGGAGCTCGACATGTTCTCTTCGCTTGCAAAAGTCCCGGTGGATGCTGGGTGGCTGCTCGGCAAGGCCGAGTGGCCTGCCGCCCATGCCGGCCACTCGGCCTTGCCGAGCAGCCTTTTTGGCAACTG